AGCAGGTCTGTAAGTTTTCATAGATTTGTTTAGTGATTCTGCAAAATAAATACAAGTGTTTCTGAGAGGCGCAAAAAGTCTTAAAATTATTCTGTTTCTTTTTTTATTATTCAGTATGTGTTCTCAGGTAAACTGGCTTTCCAACAAAAGAGCAGAAAGAGAAAAAGTAAAGGTTTAATGTTAAAAACAAGAAACAATGAAATACATCATGTTGGTTGAGGAGAGAATAGTGTGTTTATTTGTAGTTCTATTTCACCACTCACTGTGTCTTCCTTTTTATGCCTGGTCTTTTTAAGCCTCAAAGGAAGATTGAACTGATTTTGAATTTAAAGCAGGGTTTTGTGGTTTAACCCCAGCCAGCAGCCAAGCCCCACACAGCTGATTGCTCCAGTGGGATCAGGGAGAGAACCAGAAGAGTAAAACCCAGAGCATTTGTGGGTGGAGATAAAGGCAGTTTAATAGGGGACGTGAAAGCTGTGCACACAAGCAAAGCAAAACAGGAATTAATTCCCTGTTTCCCATGGCTGGGCAGGTGTCCAGCCACCTCCAGAAGAGCAGGGCCCCATCACACCTGTCAGTGACTTGGGATGACAAACACCATCGCTCCAAAAGTTCCCCTCTTCCTTCTCCTTGCCCCACTTTATACACTGATCATGGTGCTCTGTGGTCTGGGATAACCCTTGGGTCACTTTGGGTCCCCTGTCCTGGCTGTGTCCCCTTCCATCTTCCCAGGCACCCCCAGCATCCTCGACAGCGTGGCAGCACAAAAAGCAGAAAATTCTGTGTAAGCCCTGCTCAGCAATAACAAAAATATCTCTGCATTATCAACACTGTGCTCAGCACAAATCTAAAACACAGCCACTGGGAAGAAAATTAACTCTACCCCAGCCAAACCATCACACAGTGCCAAGGAAAGGTTTGTGCCTGTCTGTAGATGAAGACCAGTTCTTGTTGATCAAACTCCCCATGTCAGAGTGACAACCTTTCCACGTTATCTCTTCCCTCACAGATAAATCCTGTGGGCTCACCTTGCAGTGTGGAAAGGTGCCTTTAAGGTGGAAGAAATATTTGCACTTCTCAATATGCTAATAACTTAAAGTAATAAGCACCCGGGCATTAACTTTATGAGAAATTTGAGTGACATTTTCCTTTTATTCTGTGTCTGTTCATTATATTGTAGAACTTACATCTTCCTTGTTTTTTTTTTCTGTAGAGTTAGCAATTTCTGCTTCTTCAACCTATGTATGGATGTTTCCATTCTTCTTCTTTCAGAATATCTTCTCTTTCCTCTGTGTTGAATTTGTCATGATGAAAAGGGACATGGTATTCAGCACAGGGCTCTTCCTGGCTTAGCACAGCTTGGTTTTCCATGCCAGTAGTTGTGTTCAGTGTTGGATTTTAAGGCACATGTATTGCAAGAATATCTGGCTTCAAGTCCTGCTCAAATATGCACACCAAAAGAGAAGACACCAGAAATTTGGGCTCTGCTCTTTAACTCCTGTACAGAGAAGCATAAAACTGAACTTGATCCCTTCTGTCATCATTTTAAATTTGTCTAGGAGAGCTATGCAAAGCTGGCATAAAGTCATGTAAAAGTGATGTCTGAACATAGTTTTACTATTTTTCTTTTCTTTTCTAATTTTCTTTTCTAAATTTCTTATCCTCTAATTAGCTGACAGGATTGATCATTTGATAGAAAGCACTGTTTTGATGCCATGAAACCAAAGCAGTAAAAATTGTTACACAGGTATTTCAAAATAACTTCAGATCTGTTTCTAACATGAGATGTGAGGTAATCCAAAGACATTTCTTTCTTGATGAATAACAGAAGTCCAAAATCTTTTTCTTAATTTATAAGATACATTACACGGAAATCTTCCTTGTGCTGCTTCAGTTATCTTTTATCTTGATTATGGTTGACATTTTTAGGGTACAAGGCACTGTAGTTAGGATGATAATTTTCAAATTTCCATGAGATGCTGCAGTTTGGCTCTGAATTGTATGGGAGGCAGTTTGAAGTCAGAGCACTATATTATTTTTCCACTGCAGCTACCAGATACCTCACACACCCTGATGAGTGCAATGAAGCTTTGAAAGATCAAACAGTCAAGATGGAAACAATGCAATATTTTAAAAAGGGGAAGTAGGAATAGGTTGTCAATCCACCTTCTTTATTTTTCCTGTAAACTCATAAAACATTGAATATAGTACAAAATATTGCAAGCCTTATTTTGCTGGAAGAATGTTGGCAAGGGAAGGGTTACATCACTTGAATAAATCCACTTGATTGTGTGCCTGTCATAGAAGAGCTCTTACCCAAGCACCCCTTAGCACATTTAGTACTCAGACACAGAGATTTGGATTTATTTGAACCCTGAATATCTTATTCTGCTTAGTCTTCACAATTTTTATGCACATTTAGACTTCAACAACCTCCCCATATGCAGATTAGCTAATACATAAAATTCTCTACTTGCAGTGCCTTGTCTGGCTGCTCTGATTACTAAAATTCAAGGTAGGAAAGGGCATGTAGTATCTTCTACAATGCATTTTTTACTTTCCAGATCTATTCATTGAATGCAGCTCTTCCTAGTTTAAAAGAGCAAACTACAGTTTCAGTAATAATTTTTACCTTTAGGCAAACCTGCTATAACTCCTGCCAAAATTAAATTAAGATCTATACTTTCTTCTGGAATCTTTCCAGCTCATCCTTGGGTGAAACATATACCGTAATAGGATGTGAAACAGAAGATGAAAGCAAATATTTTTTCCCAATTCTGTCTTTTCATAACATGAGAAATTGCTTTCTAGTATCATGGTAAAAATACATAACATTTATTCCAATATCTTCAAGTGTAGAAAAACCCATCTAAAAATGTCTACTAAATTATATTAGCAGCTTGCATTTCAGTATAAATAGCTTACTGATACCATCTTTTCAGTTTTAAAAGAGTTTAAAAATGTTTTAAAGACGGGGATGGGGAGCAGAATAAAGATCCCATGAGGTGAAAGGTCAGTGACCTGCCACATCCCACAGACACACACAAGTGTGTGGGACTGTGTAGGATCCATCAAAGGAGCAGCAGAAGAGCTCACTGAGCCACTGCCCCATCACTTACCAGCAGTCCTGGCTAACTGGGAGGGCCCAGGTGGCTGGAGGTCAGCAGATGTGATGCCTGTCTACAAAAAGAGCCAATGGTGAGAGGTTCAACAGGGCCAAGTCCTGCTTTTGGGTCACAGCAGCACCAGGCAGTGCTACAGGCTGGGGACAGAGTGGCTGGAAAGTGGCCCTGGGGGAAAGGACCTGGGGGTGCTGGTTGACAGCAGCTGAACACGAGCCAGGTGTGCCCAGGTGGCCAAGAAAGCCAAAGGCATCCTGGCCTGGATCAGAAATGGTGTGGCCAGCAGGACCAGGGCAGTGATTGTCCCCCTGTCCTGGGCACTGGTGAGGCTGCACCTAGAATCCTGTGCTCTGTTCCCTCACAACAAGACTTGGAGGTGCAGGATCATGTCCAGAGAAGGGCAGGGGAGCTGGGGAAGGGTCTGGAGCTCCAAACTTATGAGGAGTGGCTGAGGGAGCTGGGATTGTTTGGCTGGAGGAAAAAGAGCTCAGGGGGGTGATGCTTTGTGAAGGCTGACCTAGAACAGAGTTAAAGATGGAGTTAAAGAATAAAGCAGGGATTTATGAGGAGGCCTCAATGGATCCACCTCGGGCAGTACAAAAGCCCAGCCAGGGCCACACCCAAGATGAACCCAAAATGGTCACAAAATGGATGACTGGTCATGGGGTCTCTCCCTTTTATAAGTTCTGGTCAATTTGCATATTGGAGTTAATTGTCCAATTACAGCTTTAGCCCATGAAGTCCCATCCTTCTCTTTTTTTTCTCTCTTCATTCTGCCATTGTTTCTGCTCTTGGGCCTGAAATTTGGATCATTTTAATTTGGTCCCCAGCTAGAGAAGGAATTGTTTTGTCTACCTACTTTGTGAAGAGAGCTTACTATCCCCTAATATGAAGCTCAGAACTACACACTAAAGCAGTACATAATCTAAAAATATAAAAGCTAAAACCTGAGGCATCAGGGGACCTCATCACTCTCCACAATTACCTGAAAAGGAGGGTGTAGTGAGGGGGGATCAGTCTTTTTTCCCCAAGTAGCAAATGGTAAGACAAGAGGAAATGGCCTCAAGTTATGCCAGGGAGGTTTAGGTTGGATTCCAAGAGCAATTCCTTCACAGAAAGGGTTGTCAAGCATGGGAACAGGCTGCCCATGGCAGTGCTGGAGTCACCATCTCTGGGAGTATTTAAAAGATGTGTAGATGTGGCACTGGGGGACGTGCTCTAGTGATGGGCTTGGCAGTGCTGGGTTAATGCTGGGACTCAGTGCTCTTAGAATCAGAATGGTTTGGTTTGGAAGGGATTTTAAGGGTGTTTTACAACCAAGTGATTCTGTGATTCTGTGACTCTGCTTAGAGAAAGATGTGTTTCACTTCAGGGTGAGGGGACAGGAATTGTGCTGTCAGTGACAGAGGAACACATGATAAAGACTGATGCCATGGAACAATATTTTTATTATTGGCTGGCTAAAGCTTTACTTCCTGATCAGCATTTAAACACATGAATAAAGAGCTTGATTCACAGGAGCATTTCACAGCAGTAGCTCTAACAACTCTCAAAACCTAAGCAATGGAACTCTTCATCTCATGCCCTCTAACTGAACTGTTCAGTTTCTGAAATGAAGACAGGAATGAGAGAAATAAAGCTTATATCAAAGCACCAAGGCTTCAGTTTGTTGTAAATTCGCATCTTTCTATTAGCTGATGGCACTGGAAGCAAGCTGTTGAAATCCTTTTTTTTTGACAAAAGATGCCATAAAACTGTGATATGTGATTTTGTACTGCCAATTATTGTAAAAGCAAAATGCAACATTTTATGCTGGAGCCACTTCTTAATGCTGTTTTTCTCTTTCTTTTCTTTTCTTTTTTTTCCCCTTCAAATCAGATATTTATCTTTGAGAATAACATCTATTACTGTGCCCATGTGGGGAAACAAGCCATCCGAGTGGTCTCCACAGGAAAGGAAGGTGTTATTTTCAATGGGCTCAGCGACTGGCTGTATGAAGGTAGGACATGACATTTAGGCCAGCAGTTAGTTATGAGTTTAAGTTACACTCTAGAATTACAGACCTTGCTGGAATTGGGCATCCAGCATTGCATTTCTGGGCACTGATGGACCATGGAGCTGAAAACCTGCTATTCTAACACTTGTCTGATGTGCTGGACTGAAAATAATGTGAAATGGTGTAAGAATTCTGTTTTCAGGCTGTTTTCTTTCTCTTAGTCCAAAGGTAATAAATCACTGGGCTTTAATGAACAGAACTGCTTCATTATTTAATGGCACCTGCAATCACTCATGGACGTGCCAGTTTTCAAATCACAGAAAAGGACAGAAATGGGGAAGGAAAGGGTTCTATCTTAAAGAAGAAAGTGAGGAAACAATTTTACTTGATTAGCTGTTTTTCACAGAACTAGGTGGGCCTTGGAAGCTGCCCAGATCTTGCCACCTAAAAAAAATTCTAAAAGCAGACCCCAGTAATTGGCTTCTTTCCTGTGAAAAAGGGCCTGACAGGGTGGAGGGTCATCTCTGGAGCACTGTTCTCTTTGATCCTTTCAGCTGGCAAATGGCCATTTTGGTGTGTGTGAGCAGCTGCTTGAAAAGTGATTTCAACTGCTCGTTAGCTTGGGAGAGGATCCTCAACACCCCCAGTTCTCTTGGGCATTGTGGGCTTTTAAAGTAATATATCAGAAAAAAATTTTAAAACATAAACACACACATGTATATGTACATGTATATGTACATGTATATATGTATGTATGTGTATAACAGGTACTTATCATGCATCCCTCTCTCTGCTGCTGGCTGATGCTGCTGCCAGCAGCTCCTTCTCACAGGGATCCTGGCTTTTGGACCTGGCAGTGACTCCTTCCTGTGACACAGCTTCCCTCTAAAGTGACTCTTTCTCCTACAGGTCCCAGCATAGTCCCAAGGTTTTCTTACTTCTACAGAGAGAAAGTTTCCAGATACGTCTATTAACTGTGTCCCTTTGGCAGCTTCCAGTTCTCTTGAGGCTTAATAGAACCAGAAAAGATTACAAAATACCATTAGCTATTAATTGGTGTAAAAATAGGAATCACTACTTAAATTGGTCTGTAGCACAGCTAGACCGAGGCCCTTAGACTCAGAAATGAGGGAATTAAAAATGAATAAGTTTGTTTGCCCCTACTAAAGATGCTCATCCCATAAATCAGTGTACAAACTCATCAAACACATCAGTGGAAAAATCTGATAGGGGTTTATTATTATTTATGCTTTAAAATGCTTCTACTGCAATACATATTTGCTAATAAGTGTCCTCCTTGTGCTGTGAAAGCACTTTGTAACCAGAGAAGTGGCTAAGTTACAAAATGCTAATTTTTCTTCACTTTATTTATTAATTTGCTGGCGAAGTTTTGGGCAGGCTGTTTGACTCTGGAGGTCAAATGTGCCCACTACTACTACCCATATTTGTCTGATAAACATCATTTAGTACATCAGGTCTCCTTGCAGAGTCTCAGACACAGCACCACACTGAGAGGAGTTTGTCAAGCCCATGAACCCAGAGCACATCAGCAAGCCCAGGATGACACTTGTTTTGCTGACACCTATTTTTATTCAATTACAGGATTGCTCAGGCAATTTCTTGGCTGACATTGACTTTCAGGTTTGCCCTCTATAATGAATTTGCTTGTTAACTTTATGTTAATGTGCTAGGGTAAGAAATGAATGTGTGATCGAGTACAGTCTGCTCATGCCAAGCCAGGTCTGTAACCTGTGAAGCACAAGGCAGATTAGGACCATTGGACTTGTTGTTCACTGGGGTTATGTTTGAAAGAAATTAGGATTTGGAAATGTCACTTTGTGTCCTAATACAGTTTATATTGAACTAAATAATTGTCTTTTTTCATAAGCACGGTGTAGGAGGTCCCACAGGAAAACCTGATTTAAATGTTCCCAACTAATGGGAATCCAAAATCAAATCCAGAGCTGAACTGTGTTGGCTGAGCTCCTTCTCTTGTCATCACTTGTGCAATCCTTATGGAGGTAAACCTGGGACCGGTGTCAGGACTGAGGACTTGTGCTTGAAGAAGCTGTGGGGCCATGGTGTCATTGGGTCTGCAGCGCTCAGACACCAGCTGTCGATGTGCATGGATGGATGGAGCAGGATCCAGAAGAAGCTGGATATTCCATGGGGACAAATGGATAAGGACAATTGAGAAATGAGAGACACCTCCCCAGTGGGGTCCAGGAGATTCCAGTTGTGGCTGCCAGTGAGATTTAACCTGGGATGCTCTGCCAACACATCATCGCCTTTGTTTTTCCAAAGCCTTTCCTTTTCTTGGATGCCACCTCTTCCATAGGATAAACTTGGACCACATTTTAAATCCAAACTTACCTGACTGGAAATGCTTGAAAACCTGGCAAAGACTGAACTGTGCCACCTCAATACTTCTTTTGCTGTTCTCCCATTGCTGCTGTGGTTTGTAGCCGTGCCTTCCCCACCTCCCAGCCGAGCTGGGTGGGATGCTCAGGCCCGTGTTTGTTTGCACTGTGAGCTACCAGGATGAGTGCTGAGCATATGCAGAACTCTCCCTCCATCTGTGCAGCCAGCTCCGGCAGACATTCTGCAGAGGAGCTGTGAGAATCAGGATCACGGAGAGTTCAGCACACTCCTCTTCCCTTCCATGCTCTTTTTGTTGCTGGAGTTCTGTGACCCCTGGCAGCGACAGCAGAGCCTCCTTGCAGTGCCCACTGGGTTTCTGTGACAGCTCACAACCTGCTTCTCACTTTCCCTAAGTGCAGCACAGAAAATAAAACTCGGGGTGTTCTGTTTGAGGAAGATGACTTTTAACAACTTTTATCTACGCAGCAAGAGCACCCCAACAGCACTGCCCCCTCCCCTTTGTGAGAGCTGATTGCACAGTGAGCTCTGCAGATGGCAACCCAGCAGTGCCACCCTTTGGGGGGAGCTCCTGGCTCTTCACATGCATGGTAGACCTGGGGGGACACTTTTCTTCACAATGTCATCGCTCTTGTCACGACAGAATAGCTGTGCCACGCTATTAATCACAGGTTTTTCCTGAGTCCACAAGCACAGCATATCTAGAGTAAATTTGACAGGCTTTTTGCCCTGGAAAAATGCAGAAGTTCATTGCAATTCAAGTTAAGCTCTGCTTTTGTAAATCTGCCAAAGGAGAAAAATTTTCTTAGAGGTATTTATGCTGATCTGTAGACTTTTGATAATATAGTGAAAAACATTTCAAATCAATCAGAGCTTAATCTACTTAGTGCATTTAGCTGGAAGGTTATAGATTGATACATAGATTACTGTAACATGAAAGCATAGATTAAGCATGGGGTTTATTACTAAAATAAGCATTGACAATGTTTTCATAGTCTGACTTAACATTTTCAGAGCCATGCCTGATAAATGCTTGTACTAAAATCGAGTGATTCCCTATAAAACAGAGTTTAAAGTTCCGCCACTGAAATCAGCTACACATTTAAATGCATAGCAGCAGCAAAGAGTGGTTTTTATTTCAGTTTGCTGTACAATCATTGTTGGTTTGAGAATATGTTTTAGCAATGATAAGTCTTACAGATAATTTTAAAGCAAGTGCTGGTGTAGCAAAAAGGACTTCCAAAGCAATAAGATAAGAGTATTTATATGTTCTGTATAGAAGTAGTAATATCTTAAAAATGACATGCATTTAAAAAGTAAATTGCAGGTAAAATTAATTTCATTTATATGCTTTTTTTAGAGCACTCTTCCAGAGAAGTTAATTCTGTCATGGTGTAATTAAAGTGTCTTAATTTGCTACCAAGCACTTGGAAAGGCTGTTCAGCTGTTGTGAGGAGGGGTGGCAGCAAGGCACTCTCATGGAGGTCACCTCCATGGTTCTGTTAAGTGACAAAAGAAGGTTGAGATGTCCCTGTGCTGCATTTGGAAATTTGTTGATTTTGGGATTTTGTGATGCTGAATCCTGGAGAATGGGGCAGGAGAACTTCCCTCAAAACTGGCATGTTGCTGCTAGATCAGGAGCAGCCCAGCAGGGTGAGCAGGACAGGAACCTCCTCTGGGCTGCACTGCTAGAAAGTCCTGGTGTGGTCTCCTTGAGCAAGTCACAGACAAAGCTGGATAACTTCTGCTCTGAGTGCATGCTTGGAAATCAAGGATGTGACACAGTGGTGTGTGCTTCTGTCACTGCTGGGAGGGGAAGGAAGGATTTTAACCTATAGATGGTCCTATGGCATGCATAAAGTGTGACATGAGGAGTTTGCTGCATGTCCTCAGATATTAGAGTAGAAAGTAGGAAAACAAAGGAACAGTTTTGTAGCTGTGGGACATACTGTGGCTATTAGGGACTTTGGTAGGAATAGCATGTGAGTTAAAAAGTAAGAAGTGAGTTAAAAAAGTAAGAATTGCATGAGTTGCTCCCTTATCTCGTGTCACCTTCAGAGGATCAGAGGATCAGAGGTAGCCTCTAAATTTGGAAGTCTCTAAATCTCAAGATCATCTCAAATTGAGAATCCCTATTCCAGACTTTGTGCTGACACTGTGGTTAGGATGTCTCATCTGGACATCTCCTCATCCTCAGACATCAAGAGGGAAACACTCCTGGCAGCCAAGCCCCAGCCCCAGCTCCCACGACACACATTTAAATCTCTTGAGTAGTATGAGCTTCACACAGTCATCCTTTAAAGCTGATACTCTGCTTTGTGGAGCTTAACACACAGTGGTGTTGCTGTGTTTCCTTTTTGGCTAAGAACCAGGAGGAGGAGGGGGAAAAAGCCTCTTTTTCAGAGATGACTCCTGTGCCTTATTAATCTTCATTTTGTCTGCGTTTTGCGTGATCACCAGCAGATCCTCTTGTGTGACTTCGCAGTGACACCTGGTGGGAGAGGCCAGGATGTCATCGTCATTAAGACAATGAAACTGCAGAATTTTTTGCTGCAAGATCTAGGAAAGGCTCCCAATTTCCCCTCACATACATTTCCCTGAAACTCTCTCGGAGCTTATGGGAA